CATGTGCTATACAAAAAGGAATTTGTGCGATGTGTGGAAAAGGGATTCTTAAGACCTCTGGCTTGCGGCAAAGTACTGTTTGAGTTGTTTTTCGTTGTTATCACCACTTCTTTTCTTTTTTCGTTTCCGGGTTTCACTTATTCATCTCCTAGCAACAACTAGAATACGGCGACATGGTCTTATTTGTATAAAACGTGTACGAATATATATTCACATGCATTTTCATTAAAGAAACAACAAGATTGACAAAATAAATAAGTCAACAAAAATGTTATTTTCGAAGATTCAGAAATATACAAGCATTTACTCTAATACTCTGATTGAGTCCACAACTTGAATGTACGATCAAAGGCTGACGACATTATCCATTTGCCATCTGGACTGATATCGACACACATGACCTTAAAAAGTGATTGCTGACACAAATTCTTGAGATTTATTCCTGCTCCATTTACCTTCGTATCGTGCCCTTTCAATTGCCTTAGTGGCTGCCATCCTGAGGAAGACCATATCTAAAACATGGGCGAACATTAGCGCATTTGACCTCACAAGGACTACATATATTGATCACAACATGCTGTGATAGCCGCTTTCAGAACCCGATGACTTTAGAGAAAGAAAGCTTATGTTCAAAGCATTACTAATATCTCTCTATTGAAAGCCAAAGCGCTCATGCGCACAACAAGTATTATTAAGAGAAGGAAATTATCAAACAGTGGAAGTGTTAACAAAAAAGCCATTGATCTCACAATTATCTCTACTTTCTGTTACATCTTTCTATAATGTAATTACAAGGATCGGCGGTTTTTGAATAGATTTTAGTAATTTCTGAACAATGACTTATAAATCTAGAAAAAAAAACAACATTCGTAGTTGCAATAAAAAATTACCTTGAGTGAATTGTCATAACTAGCTGATACTAGATACTGCCCTTGATGATCAGCTTTAATCTTAGACACTACGCTAGAATGCGCTGGCATGGTGTAGGTATTCTTACGTATACGGAGATCCCATACTTTGATAGTGTTGTCAGCACTTCCCGTTACCATCTCATACCTAAACAGAACTATTTCATGCGCTATGAAAAAGTTTGAAAAAGTGTGACAGCTGCGAGAAAATTTTTGCTTCTGAATCTTACCCGTTTGGAAGCCACTCAACAGTGTACAACTCTTTTGTATGACCATCTAAGAACATAATACATCGTCCAGTGCGTAAATCCCATACTCGACCATAGCAATCCAAGCCACCGGTCAACGCTACAGAACCATCTGGGTGAAATGCTACATCTGCTACCGACTAAAACAAATCGGTTAAGAGGTTTTAATGCGTTGATGGAAAGAAAAGCTCACTTTTGCATGCCCTTCTTGAAATAGCAGTTCCTCGCTAGTCTCAACGTCAAACATTCGCCACGAGGAATCATAGCTGCAAAACTAATTTCATGACAAAAGAGATGTTTACTTGCGAACGTAAAATAAAATTACCATGCCGTAGCAAGATGCCGACCATTTGGATGGAAAGCGAGTCGAGATACGCGAGCCTCGTGCTTTTCCAATTCACCAATTGGTTTATCACTGTCCAAGGACCACAAATAAACAGTTCCTGCATAAAAACTCGACATTACTGGACTACAATGCGAAAAATGTTGTGCTATCAGTCAAACAGTCTATCATCGACACAGCGAACAGAAATGTAATAGAATACCACAGTTCATGAGATCAGAAGTCTTCTACAAACTACACGTTACTGGTTAGAAGTTCTTGTGAAGCACCATGAAAGTTTGGGAAAATCAGAAAGCAATCGATCGAATTACAAAGGAAACCCACCGTCGTGTGCACAGCTCGCAACATTCACTGAAGAAGGATCAGCGGATACATAAGCCTGAGGATGAAATCGAGCACAACCATTTTGTGACTGATGTCCAGTATACCGTATCAAACGCTCACATGTGTCTCTTTGCCACACTGATGGTTGGCCTGACCATCCGGCAGTTACTACAACATCATGCAGTCAACAGAATGGAAGAACAAGTTACAATATTCAATAAATAAGTGAAGTAGTGAGAGTCAAAGAACAATGACGTAACAAGTAGCTCACCAATGTGTTCAGAATCTGGAGCGAATTCACAGTACGCCACTGGCCGGCTATCTGCTACTTGCGAGGCGTGCAGATTCAATTGCTGTATCCATTTGTGCGCTTCTTGTCGAGCTAATGCTTTCTCATGTGGTGGTCGGGCTGCATTTTCTCGCGCACGGATCAACCTGAAACTTGCTGAGCATAGAAGTGAGAAACAGAAGATCAAGAAAGTGGCATTTTGTATCGCGAAACACAAAAAATATGCAAATTTTGAAGCTACCTCTCTTTTGCTCTCCGAAGTGAGAAATCCGCAATAGCAACTCGCGCTACCCGTAGAGCTGCCGGTCCCCGATGGTACCAGGTAGTTGTCTCTTCGTCTGGTTTTTCTACGAAACCCTAAAAAAATCTAGATGAAACACTTCCGGAGTCGTTTCCAAAGGATAGTATAAGTTAGGAAGCCTAACATATTCAATTCACCTCTTCTGTGTGCAGTATCGCAGCAACTTCATCTTCAGTCATTGTAGAGAGTAACGCACGTAACCGTTCTCTCCGATCCAGTATATCTTCTCCAAACAAACATATGGGCTGGTTGAGTTTCCTCAATTTTAGTTTCACCTAAATACGAAGATAAAATAGCTCTGCGCCAGGGCGGTGGCCACAAACTCTCGGAACGAGCCTTTGTTCCGTTTTTTTTTTTATAAACTAGTCTAAACTTCAAAAAGACTACTCACTTGTACGTCATCTGTGGGCAGCATCAAGGTTCGAGCCCGCCGTCTGCGCTCAAACTCAGCCAGAAGTTCTGCCTCATGTTGACTTTCTATTGGATCTACTTCCATGCGTTCACCTTTCTTCTCATTCGATAAGACACTAGCATTTTCCTAAAACAGACGAAAATTTTCCCTGCAATGCAACATCATTAAACACAAGCAGCATACCTGTATGGCTTTTACCGCCTCTAAGGTGGCTAACGACCCGAATTTTTTGGCTCCTTCTTCTCCCATCTTTACCTCTTAAACAAAAGAAAACTGATTACTTGTGCTGATTACACACCAATGACACTTAGGCTACCGACAAAAAGTTTGAAACAATCTTGCCCTGTCACTCAAAGGAAGCTATAAACTGATACTTTAGATGACATCCGTCGAAAGATAAATCTTAAACTAGATAGCACAACGACTACTTAAATGAAGAAAACAAACAAGCAAAAAAAAACATCGAAAGGCAATCAAGAATGTAAAGTGACCAAAACCTTTGTACTGCTCAACAGTAGAAGTATTGCTCGAAGAGATTTATTCCCATATTTATACACATATTTTGAGAGATCGAAAAACATTTTAAGCATGAACCCTCACTAACAGAAACTCCTCTGGAGCAAGACTTAGATTAGTTATTGATGGCTAGGCCGTGTTGCAACAGCTCGCTTCGAAGATTGAAAGATTGTGGCATCTAAGTAACAAGTAGAAAAAAGGGCATCTAGTATCAAAAAGGAAAAGTCTGTACCTGGAGGTCTGTCAACTTCTTCTTCAAAATAGCCACTCCAGAATACACAATCCTATCAGCTTTCAATGCACCTGTTGCCTCAACTGAAAAGGGAAGGATGACAGAAAACAACAACAAACAAAAAGTAGTGTGGTTTTAACTTCGAAAAATTCCTCTGGCAGCATTTTGGTTCGCGATATGCAGAGAATGCGCTGTAAAGATTTGAAAGCAAAGATTCCACCTGTCGCGTGCCCAAAGTTGTGGCGATCGCACACGCGAGTGCGTGGAAATCACGGAATGTGTGAAATAGGGATTCAATACGCATCTACCCTTGGCGGCGTCTGCGAGAACAAAGTTGCATTAGGTAAAGAAAACTCACTAGTAAACCAAAACTTGTTCGGTTTTCCATCAGGATCATACGGTGCCTCGTACTGTTTTTCCTCTCCTTCCTGATCTTTGAGCTGTGAAAACTCGCTTCGAGGCCATTCTTTTGGATTGGGGTAGATGGTATGGCGCAAAGCATTGTCAGGATCATATTCGAATCCAACACCGCAAGTGGGGTTCCATTTCGCATGTTCTTTGCCGAAGCCCTGAACAATGAGAACTTTAAAACTACGCAAACTTCACTTTCGCCCCAAAAAGACGACAACGTTGCTCATCAAATGAGAACTACCTTTTTAGCGTAGCACTTAAGATTTATTTCCTGTCCTTTTCTCAATTTCACTATCAAAATATCCTCATGCTGGCCATATTCGTCGCTGAAATGCACTCCACGGTTCTTCAGATGGGTTCCACAGGCAGGAAAAACCTGAGTTCACATTTGAGAGTTACTTTTACCTCTCATTTCAACTAGCATTGAAGAAAGTCCTTATTAAATGAACTTCTGGTTGCGAATAAAGAGGAGAAAAAATAAGAGATGCTCACTGTACTGCTGTATTTCTCCGTCTTGCACACCAGATCAGCCGTCGTAACCGATCGAGTGGCTTCTTCTTTGCATTTTACATTGAGTTCGAAGAGTACTGAACAGGCGTCACAGAACTCCGTGCATTGACACTCCTGAACAGAACGCGTGTAAGTTGCTTTAGGTGTGTCGGTCAGGTATAAATCCAGTGTGGAATGATAAGAATTCTTGTATCATAACGGAAACTAAGCCAGGTGACTTATATGATCATACCCTAGTGTACTGCATATCATCAACCACAGTATCGGAGACCATTGGAATCAAACCCATTCGATGCGCAATGAACTCATCGTGAAGCACGCTGGTGTTTGATTCAATTTGCACCCAATCGATCGCGATTGTTGGCACCTAAAGCTGGTCAATCGATGTAGTATTGTAATACCTATAAAGAGAACTCGACTTATTACTGTAGTCTAGCAGGATTCGAAGGTAATACAGTGAAGTGGCTTTCACCGTCAGCTATAAAGACCCGTCGTAAAGAGTTTGCAACACTCAAATCGGTGTCCTCCAGAGAAAAACGAACCAACTCGTCACTGAGCTCGAGAATATTAATTGTGGGCTGATTCGCATAAGGCATCTATAAAAGTTACCACTTTTCCGCAACTGGCTAAAATTTTTGTTATTGCGCTCGAAAAATGAAAACATACATAGACATGAAGTAGGTAGCCAGTAAACAAAAAAAGAAGAACTGCCCAAAATACTGGGATTGAAAGCCTCTTTTCGGCGCAAGCTATTTTGGGAGGATGGACAGCCGCCGCCACGGCGAGGCACGCCTGTGAACGCCCTCTCAGCCAGAAGTATCAACCTGCACAGTCCAGCTTTCCGAGTGACTCGCACATTGCTCACAGCCGCTCCCCCTCTAATTCTTTTTCAAACTGGTGGAAGTTGAAGAGGTCGAAATGGTGGGAGAGGGGCTCGTTTTGACCGTTTTTGATAGCTTTTACAAAACCATGGAAAGATGTGTGGAATAGGCAGAGTAAGAGCATTTGCCGTTCCACCAATATCTCTTCGCTAGACAGCAGTCTTCGTAGAAAATTGTGGGCGGAATGGAGTGGGTGGACAGGACCCATGGTCAAACACTAAAAAAATTTTGGTAAGATGCTGATGGAGGATGATGGGACGACCTGCTCACGCCTGTTAGTGGGAGTCGCATTGGAAACCGCCTTAAAAGTCGTAAAATTTTTGAAATTGACCGAGTATGACGCTTGAACGTTGTTGGAGTGGATCATTAGCCGCCACTCCACGAGATCTCCGGTGTCAGACTTTGCGAATCCACGGATTCACTAGACTTGATGTTTTGCTAGCAGTTGGAGGGGTACGAGCGTTGCACCAGCAAATCAGCTACTAATTCAGTGGTGCATCGTTCGAACTACTTGCGCATCACACGTATATCTCAAGTTGCAGTTGCAATTCGTAAATTCACTATCCACAAAGTTAACACCGTTGAAGGAGGAACGAGAAGCATACTGTAAGGATAAGTTAAGTGATAGTCTCACCAAGATTGCTTGGTTACGGTGGAGCGGGAGAGTCACGAGGGGATGAATTTGAAAATCGTGACGAACTATTACGAAATCCCAAGTGGTCAACCGCGCTATCAACTGCCGTCTGTAATTCTGTGTTCTATTTCTGACTGCTTCGACTCTAACAATGCCCGGACATGGAAGAAACAGTAAGAAATATCATCGCATGGTGTTAAGGGATAATATACAAGGCATCACAAAGGGAGCCATTCGTCGTCTTGCTCGTCGTGGTGGAGTGAAACGTATCTCTGGTCTGATCTACGAGGAGACTCGTGGAGTTCTGAAGGTGTTCCTTGAGAACGTGATCCGTGATGCGGTCACCTACTGTGAGCACGCGAAGAGAAAGACCGTCACTGCCATGGACGTCGTTTACGCACTCAAGCGTCGAGGATACACCATCTACGGTTTTGGAGGTTAGAGCTGATAATCATAAACATGTCCTTTTTGTGGTGCTATTGTTACTGTTATGGAATGTCCAAAAACTGATTTTTGTTTCATATAAATTTTGACGTTAATATTGTGTTGAAACTCAGAGAATGAATATGTTAACCTCATTTGCATATTTAAGCCATTGTTACACTATTCTCACAATTGTCCGCTAACGATGCCGATCAGGTCTGTGTTTCTGTACTTACTACTAGATCAGGACGAATTTTGCCAGAACTGCAGACTATCTCACCAAAGTAACCCCTGGGTCTGTGTCACTAAAGAAGCATTCCACTGCAGAGCGCCAAATTCACTGCAAATCCGAAAACGTATTTCATTGTTATGGAAATTCAAAAAAGTAAGACCGCCGTCTCGGCGACGGACAAGCGATGGAGCGATCGCGTCGCTCCATCGCTTGTCCGTCGGCGAGTGTGACGACGGTCTAAGGAGAACCATGTAAAGTAGGGACATTTTGATACAGGCACTTAGGTGCCATGGCAAACGACGCTTCATTTGACTACAATGGTTTAGATGAAATGAGCTTTTCACCTGGTTTTATTTTCGCAGAAGGGAATTGGGTTTGGTTCACTCAAATCGGAGCCCCCTTTCCCAAGATTGAGATGACCGTGACCCGCACGAACTACTGTCTTAAAGCCCTCCCCCTCGAGCTGTACAGACCTCGTTTCCTATTTACACAAGTAAATAATTCACCCATACTAGGAGTTCCTTCCCTTACAAAAAATAATGGGATAACAGCGGACGACTCGCATTAATGCACCATTTACTCCCTTCGATGCATGCATAATAACATATTAAGCCCTCGTAATTGTCTCAAGGAGAAGATGCTGCAATAGTCCATGCCACTTACATTAATAATAATAATTTTGCCCGGGACAAAGCTTCGTAGTGAGTGCGGGAGCGAACTGGCTCACCTTATCCTCTGCAAAAGTTGGCACTGCTGCTGATGACACGTACTACCGCACTAGTCCCCCCACCCTTCCATTTAGATTGACTTCAATCTCTTCATCAGAATCAAATATTCCATTCCTCCCAATGGATACGTATCTCTTTCATTTTCTGATTTCTATTCGTTGTGGAGAATGGAAAGGTGAGAGTGATTGGTCATGCTCCAGATTTATTTGAAGATTAACAAGTTTAAAATTGGGGTCTTATTTAGCGGGCGGGGGAGTGAGGGGTGTTTGGTGCGACACTGCATGTCGCCTGCAGTATTCGGAATTTGGCAAAGGAACAAGTTTCGGATTAGGTATTCAAGTAGAGTAGAGAATCGAGAAGGACCTACGTGAAGTCACGGCCACAGCAGAAGACGCCCTAGACAGAAGTGGCGACGAGCGATCAAGACAGCAGAGCCTGCGACTGCGCGGGACTAACGGCTGGGGAAGAAGAAGAAGAAGAAAAGCTAAAGTGTCGAAGGAAAGGAAAACGGCGCGCACTGCGGAGATTCCTTCCTCTGGAAATTGGATTTTTCTGGGCGCTATTAACAGCCCCATCGCAAGCCCTTAACCGAAGAAAACAAAAATTCCTTTACTTGTTTCCTGTCAATTTTTCCTGTTTTATTTCAACTATTTTCGAGTGGTGTTCAGTGAGGGCTTATACGGTAAGTTGTGGTGGAACTTGTTGATCCACCTAGAAAAATTTCTAATTTTCAGAAACTGGAGCGACGATAGCTTTTGAGTCGGTCTCTACACTCAAGTTCAACCCTGAAGTAACTTATTGGAAGCCCGGACCAATGAAAGCTTCTAAAGTAAGCGTAGACGCTTTTCCAGTGATAAAGAGGAAGTTTTGAGGTTTTCGAAGTGAACATTCCGTCGTCTAACATCGATCTCTTTTAACAGACAAGAATCTTATGGGATCATGGAGCTGAAATCGTATTGTCGAACAAAAGGAAAACGAGTCAAAAATTTGAACGGATAGAATTGGTGGTATTGAGCATTGCTTTGCTTATGTAACTCTGAAAAGTTGAACTTTTGCTGGAAGTTCATATTTGGAAATAATTGATGACTACGTTTGAGAATGCGGGTACAGACAATCTGACGCCACGACCAGCGCTACAATTTGGTTTCCAAAATTCGTTAAGTACAACTCATCTTAGGCTGCCGCGCGAAGAGGCCTTGAACATGAGGGATAACATTCACGTTTTGGTGAGGGGGGGTTTCTGTTACACCGGCTATTTGTGGCCGCCGGTTGGCTTTATCTGGCTCAAACCTGCTTCTAAACGAAAAAATGTTGTTTTCGCGACCAGGGTGCTGAATAACTCCTAAAAGCGAACTTCCGCGAATTGACTTTAGCATCGAAAGTAGAACTTTGACGGGACTGTTTCATGAATGGTAGTACTTTCGACCTTCACAAGGACAAAGGGAAAACTGTTCAAACAAAAGCTCCAAAATGTGATTCGTTGAAAGTGAATTGAATAAGAAGCGAGTTTGTTGGAAAAAAGACGTGTAGTTGATACAGCGTCCCGGCAGGGAGGTATTCTTCTACATTTTAAGAATCCCTCGTAAGCTATCAAAATATGACAACGCAAATGTCAAAGTAAAGCAAAATAATTCGAAATGAGAAGGATCTCCAACGATAGTCGAAACCTTTTAAAGGACTGGCATCTTGACAGCTGCTCCAATCGAACTCGGCCTCACCTTTGAATTCGTTTGAATAGCTTGATGATAGTTTAAAAATAGTAGGTTATTCCTTTGAATTCACAGTCCAAATACTTCGTGTTAGGTGTTTTCTTCATTGCAGATCAGTGTGTGTAGTTTCTCTAGCAATGTGTTTCTCGCAAAGACGGAGATTGCGTCGATTAGCTTGAAAGCATTTTTCTTCGACTTTGTTCCAATTTTTGGTGGTGTGTAGGAAAAAAATTGCTTGAAGGGTGTAGTTCCTCTCGTATTTCTGTTTTATAACTTTGGAAATCAACTGGAACCCGGAGTGGTCTATGGAATTACGGATAGACGTGTTTGTAAAGGAATATTTTGCAGTAAACTCATCACTTTCAATAAAGTTAAGGATTGAAACAGCGGACGCGCTCGAATGTATTTGACAGTGATCATTCTTTCATGGATTGTTCTCTCTTTCTTGATATTCTTCATGGGGTTCTTGTTTTGTTTGCTTTGTTTTTGTGGCAGTTCACGAAGAATTTACTGTACTTCTCGATTTCAAACCTGATACTTCGCGAATTGAATGAGATGTTCTTATTTCAGGGTTTCACCATGGAGCGTTATGATCGCGCTATTACAATCTTCTCACCTGACGGACACCTTTTCCAAGTCGAATATGCACAGGAAGCCGTGAAGAAAGGCTCAACTGCTGTAAGATCACTTAACTTTTATGTTGTCTTTTGCTTTTCATTGGGTATTTGCAAACGTGTTATGCTACTTAGGGATCGCTACCACCTTTATCAAACATCGAGCGCTAAGTCTGTACATATGTGTGTGAGTCTATGTCAAAATTCGGCACTCTCTGAAAAATGACCTGGAGGGTTCAGTTCAAGATTGAAGGACGCAGTGGGAATATTGGAGATAGGGATGCAACACGGAGACATGGTCGGACTAAGGTGAAGTTCAGAGGTGCGTCAAGCCACCGTAATCATAGAAAAGAGCGGGAGGACATGCACGAAATGGGCGGTGGATGACGCAAGCTTTTCGTTATCTGAATCAGAACTGCTCTACCGGGTAAGAAAAATGGGTGAGTTACGCACTGAAGTTGCCAGGTCGCCGTTGAAGAGAATATGCGATCGCTGCGGTTTTCACAGATTTCGGTTCGGCTCGACGAGGTGGTGGAGAAGCGGATCGAAGATTGGCGGCGTCAGGGCTAGAGAAAAGATTCTTACTAGGTGGGGTCTGCAGGAGCTGTATGTGGAGTTGTCCTGAACCATAAAGGACTTTCTAGACCCTCAGAGTCGGGGGAAAATGGTCATTACTGCTGTACTATCCCTGTTCACAACCTTTTAAGGAGTCGTTTTGAAGGTTCGAGTTCAGAATAAAAAGCGCCTACATCGGTGGCACTCCATTTATAAGATGGCCTTGGTCTTGATAATTGGCTTTCCTTGCAATAAAGGATAAAGCATTTGCCGTTGATCAATCCCTTTTTGGGATGCGGCACGCATTCTACTTCCATTTGTACATTCGTAGTGGCGTTTGAATGCGATGTGGCCTATACAATGACTTGCGGGGGCCAGCCGATGTACAAGTCAGTGTTTTTATCCTCCCAGACAAGTCTGGTACCAATTAACCGACCCCGGAGGGATGGAAGGCTTGGTTGGCCCGGGCGACTCACGACCCAGGATTTGATCCCCGGACCGCTCGCGTGGTGAGCGCGCCACTTGTCACTACACCACTTCCGCCTCGATAAATAGATTAAATTAATAACTGGTTGACCTATTTGATTACTATTCTCACAACTGTGTGGTTTGAACTATGTTTACGGATTTGAGTAGTCGAAATAATGCTGGCTCATCTCCCTCACCTCATTCTCCAACCTCTACTACTGATTGCATTCGTTTTCATAGAATTGCGAAGTAATGAGTTCGGGAGGCTGAGCGTGGTAAATTCATTCAAAATGGTAACTCCTTTGTGTCATTTGTACCATTAATTTCTTGCAGGTGGGTGTACGAGGAAAGGACTGTGTCGTGATCGGAGTGGAGAAGAAGTCAATTCCGGCACTTCAGGATGACAGAACGATCCGAAAAATCCATATGATCGACGACCATGTGATGCTTGCTTTTGCGATTTGAGGAATGGATAGAGCAACTTCGTTAATTCTTTTGTACTCTTTCAATTCAGCATCAAATATTTGATTTTTCGTATGGCTTTCTGTTGGTGTGCACGACTTGGGCAACCTGTAGAGGATGCGTCTAAGTGGAGCACATCTCAATGATAAATGAATCCGATTATCTAAACTTTCTTTGTAAGGTCTTTCGGCCGACGCGCGTGTGCTCGTCGTCGATCGCGCTCGCATCGAATGTCAATCGTACAAGTTAACCCTTGAAGATCCTGTGACAGTGGCATATATTTCGAGGTATATCGCAAATACCAAGCAGGTTTGTTTCTTTATCTTGACGAGCTTTGTTGCTTCTTCTGAAAATGCGGAGCTCTCCTATGCAGATGTTTGAATTAGTGCGTTCTTTGTAGCGTTTCACACAATCTCCTGGTCGTCGGCCGTTCGGAATTTCGATGTTAATTGGTGGATTTGATTTCGATGGTCATCCACGGCTCTTTAAAACGGAACCTTCTGGTTGGTGCCAGTAGAGTATTCTGGTCACGGCGTTTTCAATCCATTTCTTCATTTTCTACTTCTATAGGAAAGTCGGTAGGTTTGCCAAGAAACCATTTCTAGAGTTGGTAGTTTAGGCTAATTCTACTGGTCGTGGTGAGAAACCCGTTCGTGAGTACTTGGAAGAACATTACGGAGATGACACTATAAAGGACGAGGCATCCACTCTCAAACTTGTAGTTAAGGCCCTTTCTCAGGTGCTTGACTTGTTTTTTTTTTTTGATCAAGCATTTTGCATGAGAGAAGCCACATCTTGAGGCATATTAAATTTCAGGTAGTTCAATCGGGTGCTCAAAATATTGAGATTGCAGTCATGAAGAAAACCAATGTTGTAAGTTTTTTCGCCTTTCGAAAGATTTCTTCCTTTAATTCGGCTGGGATTCCTACGGAGGGTAATTGTGTACCCACGGAGGATCATTCGAATTGTTTTGAATTTGACTATAATTCCTGAATAGGCCATGCTTGAATGGTGAGCAGTTGTTGGTAGGTGAACCCCGGCCAGGGATTCCTCAAGAGAGGTGTTGCAATTCGATTCTTGGAAGATCGTTGTTTTTATATGATGGCCGTTGAGATAGTGAAGTGTGAAAAAAATGCGTAAAATTTGTTGCTTCAGCAGTTAAATAGTCTTCCTACTTGACCTCCTTTTTGGCCTTTGGGTTTTAGCCGCGAGGTTAAAACTTCGTATAGCATACATTATACGATGTCAGACTTTGCGAATCGCGCGATTCGCTAGCGTCCGCGGTCGCGTTGCGGTACCAGCCAATTGAGTGATTCACTGGCCGCGACGCGACCGCAGACGCTAGCGAATCGCGCGATTCGCAAAGTCTGACTAAAGGATGCTATTGATGTCATCGAATAGCAGTAACAGAGTGGAGAGGTAGTTGTATCTGACACGTGACTCAGCCTTGTTTGAAGCCCTTTTCGTTGGCTTAGGTTCCCTTGCAGTTCCGTTCGGTTCGACCTCTGCCTGCTTCTCCTTCCTTGCGAAGATTGTTTGTTTCCTTTTAATTGTTTGCGACAGTGGTCTCACAACGAGAGGAGAAGATGAGAGGTTTCGCTCTATGTTTCAGCCCCTATTTCTCTTCTCTTTCTCTTCTCTTGTGAGATTTTTCGTTTTCTTCTTTTTTGTAATATTGCCACTCACTTTACCTCGCATCTAAAGTGATACTAATTGCGCGTTTTTTACCATTTCCTTATTTCTTGTGTTCCTTTTTCGGGCAACCAGTGAGCCTGTTACGATTTCCTTTGTACCTTTGAAAAAGGCATCCGCCACTCCTCTGTGAAAAATAATTAGCATCAGGTCAATTCGCTAGCATTTTAGCGAGTCCGCGCTCTGATAGATATTTCCTTCGTGGTTCAACTAATGTTGGACTTTTTCACATTTTCCAAATTCCAGCCCGGCGAGTGCACACATCGTGTCCTCACAGTCGAAGAAGTGGAAGCTCTGATGAAATTGGTGGAACAAGAACGTGAAGCAGCTGAGGCAGAAGAAGCGAAGAAAAAGTGAAATCTTCCAGAAAGGAAACATTTATTAAAGCAATCGCCATCATTTTAATTTATGCCGCGCTGATTTCAATAATTTCCTTAATAATTTTTACAAGCAGAGTATCGCATGATGTGGCGTTTAGTGCCTCCGGATGTTGTTGGCTGTTCTCATTTTTATTTATGATGTCTCATGCGGGAGTACACTGTTTTTTAGAGGATATGTATTCCCGGTCTTTGTTACTGTATTACTTGATACAAATTGTTATTTAATTTAATAAAGAATACAGTCGGGAAGAAGAGCATTTTCTCAACTCTTTTGTTAGATGAAAGAAGCTTAAGAGGTTCTGTGAAACTGTGTGGCGTTGTTTGTTGCATGATGAGAAGCTCATCAGATTAAAAAAGCCTGAAGGTGGGAAGTGGCACTGGAAAAAGAAGTGAAAACAGGATTACGCCCCAACAGGCACCCGTCTTCCAAGCCGTCTTCCACTGGGGAATGAGGAGATGAGAGTGTGGCGGGCGGGCTCACGAACATGACCAAGGGCTTCACGTTGGCTGCAGTGCCAGCTGAACAAGCCGGCGGTAACGCTGCCAGTTAATCACCGATAGTGCTCATTCTCGCATTGCAGCGTGCAGCGACTAGGCCGCTAGGCGGCGGGCTCACGAAAGAAAGCAATGTAAGGTACCGGCGGTGCGAGAGAGTTGTAGCGCCTTTGATCCCCACTTTTGAAGCCGCCAAGGTTTGGCAGCGACATCAGCGCTTGTCAGGCTGCTAAACCGATTGTCGGACGATGGAACAGGCTGAGAACGAGCCCGATCCACGTTGTTTTACTGGCCTCTTAAGGCGAGGATTCCTCGGCTGTTCATGATCGAGCTTTCGCAAAGTTTTTGCAAAAGTGTATTTTTTACAATGTTTTCTTATGAACTTATTAGTCTCTTGTTAATCGGGTATCGTATAACTTCGTATACATGTACTTAAAGGAGGAATTCACGATTAGAATGAAGGTCGAAGAAAGGGAAACTGACCTAGTTGAGGGACCCACGGACCTCCTGAGGGTGCGAACTGACGCGCAATTCGCATGGAAAAATTTGACCTCGGCGACCTATCATGCCTCAAAGCTGGCGGGTCCGGCGATCTCCGCCCACCGATCATCTGATCACTCGCCGTAGTTCAATACGTGGCGAGTGATTAGATAGCTGAGAGAGCGTAGTGTTGAAGAGGGCACAGCGATGAGAGTCGCATCAATGCTCAAATCAACGGGCAAGGAAGGGGTCCCATTTCTCGGGTTCTCTCGTATTCGTACTTTAAAGGAAATTCCTCGATAAGAAAGAAGGTCGAAGAAGGGGAAACTCACGTAATGGAGAAACAGGCGGACCCCCTAAGGGGTCTTCCCCGCGACCCCCTCCCCCTCTCGCGTCGTCTCGTGTCTGAGTCTCTAGCCGTTCAGCAGAGAGAGCGTTAGCGTTGAAGAGGGCAGCACCGATGAGAGTCGCATCAATGCGCAAATCAACGGGCAAGGAAGGGGCCCATTTCTTAGGGTTCTGGACCATTTTCTCTTTTCTTTCGTGCTTCACTGACATCTCCAATGTACTTTCCAACAGGCCGCCTTTTCATCGCAATGTTCGTCTTTTAGAGTGTCGGCCTGAATGCAGTCATGGCCGTAAACAGTGGTTCATTACTACTGTGGGGTCACACCCATTTTTTTAGCCACACGATAAATGGCACTCACCTTAGAGCTCCATCCCCTCCAGATCATAGTTTAACAATAAGGCTTTAACCATTCCCTTTTGGCATTGCGAGCCGAGCTAGCGGCATTCTGCAACCATTTTTTCTAGCCACTTGTGCATCCAAATTTGGCCAAGGTGAACAGTAAGTGGCTGACGCTATTTCAGAAATTTGCAAGTTTGTGAGAAAACGCATACATAAGAACAAAATCAGTCACATATTTACTTCGGGATTAATAAGGATTGTACTACCCACGGTTTTAGGCATACTGTAGTCACCAATCACCAATCATGTCAGCTCATGCCCAAATTGACAGAACTTGTGTAATGCAAGCACGGCACGAGAGCCTTACCACTCGCTATAGGATGTCGTTTGGGAGGTCCACCGCTCGCTGAACTTTTACAGACAAAGGGCACTTCTTATTAGTTCTGAAGGCCTAGTGTAGGGTTCCACGTTAGAGCATTTAAGTTGTTGTAATTCACGTCATTCACTCTTATTTCCTGAGCGTGACTTCAAAAATTAGACATCCGGTCAAACCTTTTTTGTTTCAGGTTCTGATTATTTCTCATGTGTCATAAGCAGATAATGACTTTCGATCAAAGGGATCAAGAGTCTTTTGAGGCATTTCCAAGAGAAAACTCAAAGGCACAGCATGCAATCAAATTGTTGTTATTTTGCGAACTGTTATTAACGTGCGGTTGCAGCGTCGCCTATGATCGTGATCAGCTTCAAACAACTGTTATATTTAGCAGTGGGCATATTTGTGGTGAACATAATGAAAAGGAAACGGTAAGCAAAGTAGAGGTCAGTAAGCCACTCAGAGGACGCGACGGACGCAATCATGCTAGAACATAGCGATTGAGAGTACCGTAACCGCCATCTGATTGTTCCAGCTTGCATTGAGCAGAAGTTCATTATGATCCAGTTCCAGAGAATTGTACGATGAGTAATTCAAATGTGTCGCGCTCTTAATGAAGTGTGGTTTCAGTCTTAACAAGAGCAGTTTTCACGAAGTTCTTAAGATATAATAATTCTGAGGAGTTCCAGTCAAAAGAACAAAAAATTCGGTCACTGAGAAAGTTCATTGAATTCGATATCGCATAACATATAATGATCACGCCGGACCAGAGGTGAGCTCGACTTGATTGTGCGACTTCTTCCACTGATTGCCTGGCTGCTGTCTGCCGACACATTTCGAACACTAACGACCTCCTGACAAGGTCATCCGATCTGATTACCTGTCACAATTCCGTGTTTCCATTTCCCTCCTCGAAGGCTTCTCTTCGTATTATTCGTTGCCTTTATGCAATTATGCAGCTCTCAACCTTTATGGAATATCGATACCGATGTTAATTTTAGTATTTTTGTCATCTTAAAGCAGCCCAGCGAAGCAGCGTCACTCCATGTCAGGTGGTAAATTGTTACTTATAGTCCACTCTAGCGGTGTTAGACTAGGTTTTTGGGATGACGGGTCTTTGCGGTATTCAATCCTTCCCCAGGGGGATATATCCCCCTACTCTGATTCAATCCTCTGGGGGGACAAAAAAGGGTTGCGTCATAGGACCTAGCATACCTCTGTGTTTCTACCTGCCAGACAGTTAGAGCAGCGCGACCCCTCAGGGAAAAGAGTGCTTCATCAGTGGAGGGTAGTAGCGCTGCTCTAACTGTCTGGCATGCAGAAACACGAGCGTGTGCGCGTCCTATTGACGCAGAGCCGTGTTGTCGCGGCCCCCAGAGGATTGAATCAGAGGTGGGGATATATCCCCCTGGGGGAAGTGAACACACGCCGCCACTGGTTGGGACCTCAGGTCAGCGAGGGCAATCTTCAACTTGCAGACATCTCTGGCAAAACAAAAAACAATGAAATATTTTTAGTGCATGTTTCGTCTTAGAAAGGGAAAAATGTTCAATAAAATCTATAACGCGAGAAATGTAAAACTTATTAGGAGGTTCCCTCTTGCCCAGAGAAAGAGAATGATACTTTGGATTTACTCCTCGGATACGCCATGCATTCCACTTTTGTTCAAATCTGCAAATAAATTCAAATGTCGTGATAAATGAACTATTTCGAATAAGACCTTCATATCCCTCATATTGATTTGCAAAGACCAAGCAGTGCCCTGGTGGCATGGTTCCTTTGGCTGCCTGTGAACTTTGACCCGGATTGCGATGAAAAAGATGCAAAGAATTCATATTATAACTTGCAACAATGCCAAAGTTTCAAAAACTACTATGGGGTAGCCATAGTACGTTCATTAGAGAGTGACTCCCCTACTAGTCACCCAAAAGTACACCCAGTTCACTTTTTGCACATAACATGATTACGGGTCTAATTACTGGTTAAGGGTGACTAGATGCCATGAAATTACAACCTGACCACCATGATATTACTTCTGCAACGGCATCACATCAGCTGGGTGTACCGACTATCGAGCAGAGCGACAATTGGTTTGATTTTGCGAGCTTCTTCTGTACACTTGCTCCCCTATAAATTTCATGGGCGAAGATAGTGCAGTGACTCACGGTGAGCGCAATGGGTCTCTAACCTGTCTTATTGTTAGATCGGTTTTTTGCTCAAAATACCTGAAGCTTCTGTTCCTGCAGGTTCCACAAACAGTAAGAGATGGAAGAATATTTGAGTGCGGAACATTAAAGATCCTGAAGTCAATGAATATGCCAAACATGCTCCCAAATACCGTAACAATTCTTAATAGAGGTCAGATGCGTGGCTCAATCCAAATTTGGCTGATCACACCAGACCCTTTATATTTCTTTTTTGATTCTAAGAGCTACTTTAACTTCCTAAGCTATCTCCTTGTTGTTCGTTTTCCCTTCCTCCTATTTTCTCTTCTCAAATTGCCCCTGTTATAATTCCGTAAAAGGATGAAACCTGATGAATATAAACCCTGCAAGACCATTCTTGTAGATCGAATTCTTGTTCTTCTTATAGATGCAGGATAAAGCATTTGCCGTTGATCAATCCCTTTCTCAGAATGCGGAACGCATTCGACTTCCGATTTTAAATTCATAGCGGGCACTTGAATGCGATGTGGTCCTATACAATGACTTGGGGGGGGGGGGGGGGGGCGATGTACAAGTCCGTACCTTTTATCCCCCCAGACAAGTAGAATACCAATTAATCGACAACGGGGGGTTGAAAGGCTTGGTTGGCTCCGCGTTTTTGCACTGGTCCACACATGTCTCTCGTGATCGCGCCGTGGTAAGCAGACGGCCACTGCAACTACACCACTCTGGCCCCCCCGCTTCCCCCCTGTTAATTTATAATTTATATTCCGCTG